CCCGCCCCGCTGGCGCCGCCCGCCCCCTCTTAGGGCGGGCCCGGCACAATCCCCGCCGCGGAGCGGAGGTCATAGGCTGCTCACCGCCACGGCCCCCGACAGCGGCGGGGAGTCACCGCTCGGAGTCCTAGACCTGCTCCCGCAACCCCGAGGGCCTGAACAGCCGCCTCAGGACGCAGCGCCTCACGCGGGCGCTCCTCCTCCCCCTCGGGCTCTCTTTCTTTCTTCTTAAGATAAAATCCTCCAGGACACTATCCCATTTGACTTTGCTATCCTAGGACGGCAGGAGATAACTTACCATTTATCAATGCACTTCTGACAAAAGCTGTGAGCACAAGGCAGAATGAGGTCAGCTCGACCATCCATACAGATACAGCACTCCTCCTCGTCAGTCAGCTGTTTCACCCTGCAATGTGAAAAATGAGCTGGGGCACTGATATTCTTTGCTGTAATTATGCTTTATACTTTGTTTTCATTACCTCGAAAAACATTATCAAACATCTATGTGTTCACAGAATAGAGCACAGTACTATTCATGTGCAAAATCTGTAAATTAACATGTCTTTTAGGGACAGTAAATATATTAGGGGAAAAGTAATACAGGATAAATTTCGTAAAGGAAGACTGGATAAAAGAAAAATTCTGCAATGGTTAAAGAAATAAATATGAATAAAAACTGGAAATACTCTGGTCTTTCTGAAAATAACAGCCCATTTTAACCATAATGAACTTGTATGAATGAATTTAACCAACGGATGATCTATTCACTGTGCGGAATTAAAAGCTCTACAGACATGGACTCTGCCACCAGGTCCTTCCAATACTGATACTGATAATGGGCATATAAATGAAAGAATAGCTTAGTCTTAAGTATCAGGTGCTCTTGGAAATACAAAGAAGGTAGAAAACAAAGTCTCTCTCCTCAAAGAGCCTCTCATTTCCTTGGGGGGGAAAAAGAGACGTTGAGCCTTCTATTCTAGCCACAATGTAGAGCGTCCCCAAATCAGACACATGCCTTTGCACATGGTGTTTCTTCTCCTGTAATGCCCTTGTGAGTTTGGTAAGCTCCAACTTCAGTAACTCAGCTCAAAATAGTATCCCCTCTGTGATCCCAAAACCAACACTGTCTCAATTAAAGCACTTAAATGTTGCATTTTAATTGGCTGTTTAGTGGTTGGTCGCTCCATAAATGGTAAGCTCTTTGAATACAGGGAGTTTGCCTTAGGTTTTCAATAAATGTTTGTTGAAGTCATTTTAATTTTCTTTTATTCTTTATGCTTTTCTGTATTTTCAAAGGTTTTCTTCATTGAGCATGTATTAGTTTTGTAATTATTGAAAACAAAATAAAACAAAAACTGAATGTTTCAAAGTCTAGCTACTATAAGCTTCTTAAAGGTAGGAACTATTTCTGGCATTTTTGTATTCCCTGCTGTTTTTATAGTCCTGCATAACACATTGAGACAGCACCTTAAAATTTGTTGATCTGAACATAAAACAATATAAATAAATGTAAAATGTGCATTATGTATAATAAGTACTAAGCAAAGAAGAGATCAGTATATTTCAAACT